GGTGATGGCGGCAGCGGCCCAGGGGTGAGAGGGATGGGGAAAGTGACTCCCCCCTCACGGTGTCGGTCGTGGTGCTCGGCAGAGTGTCCGGAGGTAGTAGGGTGAGGTGGGAGAGCAGCAGAGCGATGTCCAAAGGCAGGGAGCGTGGATCTCAGTGCTGGGATGGCAGGGGAGATGCCAGATCCAAGCACGGTGCGTCCTCTCCCTCCATGAGCCAAACGAGAGAGTTTCCAGCCCGCTCCCGACCCCCGTCCCACCTTTCCTTTTTCTGGTTTCCCCCCCACCTCCCTCCACTCACCTCCTTTCGAGAGAACATGACCTTAAGGTGTAGCCACTTAGCATAACAATGGGAGAAATTCCACAGAAAGAAAAGGGAAGCATTCAACCCCCAACAGAGGTTCATTTTGATGGATGGGAAATGAAATGAGAAGTAGCTCAGTAAAACCCTCAGTGAAGTCCTGTGCTGCTCCTTGATCAAACTCCCTTTCAAACCCAGCTGTGCCTCCCTGCCATCTCTTGGCTTCAACCTTTCCTGGGCTGCTCTAACACAGGGGGAGCTCCACCACCCCCAAAGAGCTCCCCAAGTCACAGCTGCTGCCCACAGCAGGGATATGAGTTGCAGTGGTGTGTTCTGGGGCTAAATGGTGAGAGACTTGAATCAGGTCACCTGGAGTGGCCCAGCAATGCCTTGTTCAGGGAGCACCTGCTGTGGATTCCTGGCTCCTGTGTTCTGGTTAGAAGTGGCAACCAGCACACAAGGGAATGGTGCACATGGGCAGAGCCTCCAGCAGCAGCACACTTCACTCATAAGCTGGTGAACGCAGGAGTCTCCATGTTTGTCCAGCTCCCCTTTGGCTGCCTGCACAGCATGTGCCGAAGGTTGCAATTCCCAGTGCTGGGCTGGCATCAGGACACATTTGCAAGAAGGGGAATGCAGAATTTAAGATACAGTCTGAAATGAACTGTCTGGGCTGAGTCTCGTCAGAGGAAGGGGGTATAGAGTGTATGGGAGAGGTTGTTTATGACAGTGGCTATACTTCAAGTGTCTGCTGCTCTTTTGCTTGTCAAGAGACTGCAACTTCACTATTACTCCCCTTGTTTTCCAGGAAAAGCAGAGACAAAACATGCTGGGAGTAACATCTGAACAGAGGAGCTTGTTTGCAGCTCAGCAGTTTCAAGGTAAGGAAGGAAATGGCCTGAAAATCCTTGAGGTGCCAGGGTCTGGTGTCTGGTTAAATAGAGACACTTAATGATTCTCTGCCCTGAATTAAAAGCATTTTGCATTTTATCACATATCATGAGATTCTGCTGTTTCCTTATGGCTCCAGTATAACTCTGTTACAAAGAACACAAAGGAGAAGCCCCCATGACATGAAAGAAAGAGCAGCAGTTTTTAAAGGCTTTGCCATGTTTCAAGGGTGAATCTATGCTCACCAGCTAACATGTCTCTTTGTCCACAGCTGTGCAGCAGTCCATTCCTGCTGACTGCAACCAGGTGATCCCAGCTCCTCCACCCAACCACCACATGCTGCCATCAAACCCAGCCATGCTCCAGAGCACCTTGGGCTCTGGCATGGCCTCAGCCACTGCCAGCCAGAGTAGCAGGACAATGGTGATGATTCCACACAACCCTGGCAAGCAGCAGGGGATTTTTCCACCTAATTCTGACTTTAACATCCCACTGCGGCCAAGCCAGAACTCACTAGGCATGAACTCAGGATGCCAAACTGTTCCCAGCCACTCCACTGTGAGGCCAGGAATGCCGATGGGAGGCTTCAGTTCTGGCTCTTTAGCAAATCACTCTGCAACACAGCAACACTTGAGGCAGCCGAGTGTGCCAAGAATCCCCAATGTCTACCCCAACTCATCTGCCCAGATGTGGACACCAACTACTGTGCCAAGAATGCCAAATCAAAGCCAAATGGATACTAGCGTGCAGCAGTTTTCTGGGAACATGGTGTTCTCCAAACAGAGCGTGAGGCCAAGCACATCAGGTCAGGCATTCTCCCAGCAGGCTGTGGTGCCACCGAATCAGATCGCTCCTGGCATCCAAGTCAGGCAGATGCAGAAACTGAGCATGGGACAGTCTGGCCAGGGCTTAAGCTTAATGAGTAATCAGAACTTGAGACACAATTTAACCAGGGGATCATTGCCAGCTATGAATGTTATGAAATCAGTGCCCCAAGGAGTGTCCAATTTTAACCACCTCAATCCTGCCCCGGGCCTCAGCCCGCCAAGCTACCCTTCCACTGGCCAGCCCGACACCTTCAGCGGGATGAGTGCCACTGCTGAGCTGCCCCAATATGACTTTGTGTCCCAGCACAGCAATTCCGTAATGCCTGCCAACTGCAGCAACACTGACTTCCTCGACTCCCTCATGAAGAACAGCAGCAGCAACGACGAAGAGTGGTTGAACAATCTGACAATGATAGATGACATTTTGGGACAGCACGCTCAAAGCTCTGGACATGTTTAGCTTGGAGAGAAGCAGCCTCATTGTAAATAACACACGTATGGCTTTGAACAGAACAGACGACCCATGAAAGCCACTGCATTGTTCAATAAAGAGGGAATAGACTCAGCCAATTCTTTGCCTGCATCAGAATTTAATATTGGCAGTTTTTTAGATGATTGTATATATTTGAATATTTTGTAAATTATGTTTTCCTAAACCTTAAATGTAGAAGTATTTATACTTCCTTGCTGGACTCTTTGTAAATAAATCTATAGCATAACTTTTGGTTTTATGATAGGGATTTCATTATACCTTGTTATAAATATGCAAATAATATTGTTAGTTGCTGTAATACTGTGTATTACAGCATAAAATACTTATGTTTTTGACATAACTTAACACATGATTTAGAGGTGTCATTCCAACCAGACTAACAGAAATCAAATATGGCATCTATTCTCCCATATCAAAAGGAAAGATTGAAAAGTTGCATTAAAAAAAAAAAAATCCCTAAAAGAAGCTGCTGATTCCCTTGTCACTTAGTCTTGCAGACCAAACCTGGTACATAGGTCCCATTCAGGCACTCAGTGCATTGAGGGATCTGCTTTCAGAGATCCATTTGCCAGATCTGGGGCATGTTCTCAGCTTTATACACTCCAGTAGGTCACTCTGCCACTGACAACCCGCCAGCGCTGTACTGCAGGGAGTGTGTGCTTGTGACCTTCCAGCTGCTGACGGGTGTGTGCCTGGGGTCGCAGGCTCAGCGTGGTGTGGCCACACTGGACAGGAGGTGCTGGGCAGGCACTGCCCAGCCTCCAGCCACTTAACCCTTCAGCAAAAAGGTAGCTCTGGTTTGTGCACCTCTACCATGTATATTTGTAGTGTACAGGTGATTTATTCCTGGTTTTAAGGCTTTTCATAATTTCTGTTTTAATGTAAGACTTTTTTCAGAGGAAAAGTCTACAAACATCAATAGTTAATTTTTGATGTTTTTCTGTCAGCTACTATTGTCCTCTGTATATTTAAGAGTCTGTTTACGAAAGATTTGCTGTACTGTAAACTTCTTAAAATGTTCATACTTTATGTAATCATATTTTAATAGTCACGTCATACTTCACAATACATTTGTAATATAACGTCAGCTTCAAGCACAGAATGTTTTTTTCTTCATACCATAATAAAGTGCCAAGGGAAAATTGCATATCTGTCTCGGTTTGAAAGACAGGTATTTCTCTAAGGAAAGGCAAGAACCCCTTTCCTGAGATGCAGAGTGCAAGCCCTCCCTTCTAATTATTATAGTTTCAAATCAGAGGCTTTCAGGCAGAAGATATGGGGATAGGAATAACAGTTCTTTACTGATATCTAACAAGGCAAAACAGCAGAAACAACCACAGCTCTAAAAATTGACAACAAACCAGAACAGTATAACTCAGTTCCAGTCCCTTTTGGCCGCAGGCCGTCTCCCTGCGCTCAGTTACCGGCACTGTGGGCAGGGCAGGGCCCGCGCAGTTGAAGAGGGCTGGGTGATGGCGGCCGCGGCCCAGGGGTGAGAGGGATGGGGAAAGTGACTCCCCCCTCACGGTGTCGGTCGTGGTGCTCGGCAGAGTGTCCGGAGGTGGTAGGATGAAGTGGGAGAGCAGCAGAGCAGTGCTCGACGGCTGGGAACGTGGATCTTGGTGCTGGAATGGCGGGGAAGATGCCAGATCGGAGCACAGGCCATCCTCTTTTCACTCCACGAGTGAAGAGAGAGCGAGAGAGAGCCCAGGCCCCTGTCCCACCTTTCCTTTTCCGGTCTCCCCCTATCCCTCACCCCCCTGTGAGAGAAAACTATTGCTACTAAGGTGTAGCCACAAATACTTAGCATAACAATGGGAAAAATTCCACAGAAAGAAAAGGGAACAATTCAACCCCCAACATCTTTATGTGCTCATTTTTCAGCTACAGTGTTTTGTACTCACAGATATTTGAATTAATTTCATTTGTCCAGGATGCTGCAACATCAATCTAATAAGCAGTGTGCTGTTGGTAGGAGCAGTGGGCCAGAGAATTTAAGCAGGCTTTAGTTTTATTTTAAGGTGGGATTGCTGAGGCCCACTGTCCTTTTCAAGTGTAATTGTAGGTAAATGTGAAATTAATCTCTGTTGGTTTTGGGTTTTTTTAATAGCACCATGTTTATTTAAGTGACAGTTCTTGTGTGTAAATGCTAAATGTAAGGCAGTGAGAAGGGGACCTTGCCCATTCTGTGACACCTGCAAGGACAGTGGGTACAGAATGTCACTCCTTCGATACAGAAATTGTCTTATGGGAGAGCTGGTGCCTGTCCTGGGGGAAGCCAGGCTAAGAGGAGGGGTAGGAAAGAGCAAGAAAATTTCAGCAATGTTAAATAAATGCACAAATAGAATCTGGACCAAAAATTGCCTCCATTTAACTGAGCAAGACACTGCCTCAGCTTCCTGGTGGAGATGTGTTGTTGCTGCCTTTTGTCCCAGGCACACTGTGGGCACCGAAAGCCTGAGGAAATCTCCTGGGGGATTCCTAGATGGAGGGAGTGTTTTGGCAAAGACGTTCCTGTCCTGGAGCGGATCCTTCTAGCAGCCTGTTCTCCAGAGCCAAACGGCAGAAAACAGTTCCTAAAGTCAAAAATGAGAGAGGACGGTCAGGGTTTAAAGCAGCCAGGCACATGCTCTGCTGCTGGTGTACCGATGGGCAGGAGACCTCCCTAGCTACAACCACTCCAGGCTTGTCAGACATCCTTGTGGCTTCCTGATGGCAAAGGCAGATCACATGGAGCCAGAGGTTGTGAGGGGAATGACCCCTAACCAACGTCATCTCGAGTTTGACATGCAGTTGTATGAAATCGGGTAAGGAAGAAAAAAGCCAGTTTTTCCAGTGAAGGAAACCAAACAATTGCCCAAAACATGCTGTAGAACTCAGCAAGTGTCTGAATAAGGCAGAAATGCTGACTTGTCTCTGGACAGCAGAGAGGGGGAGAAATGCCCATGAGTGAGTCTGTGGTGAGGACAAAGGTGAGTTCCTTTGGCTGTGAAAACTGGCACCATTTCAGCAGCTTTTCTGTCATGAGCTGTGTCCTGCCAGGGCACAGGGAGCTTCAGGGAGTGGCAAATCTGACACAGGTCTGGGATCCAGAGGCATTCAAGCCCTCCAGGCTGGCCAGCAGCACAGCAGCCACTGATAGCAGAGAAGGCTACAGTCCTTTGGGATATTATTAAAAATAGCAAAAATGTTCCTCTTTTCAGTCTTCATTTTGTTTGTGTCAATACACACTTAATCATTTCAGTTCTGCATGATTGGGGTTACAAACACTGTGGGGAAGATGTCTTCAAAAGCCAGCTCCTTCCAACAGAATTTTTGGAAAACAGTTTATCTTGTGTTGGGAAGGATGAATTAGGGAAACCTTATAAATACCAGTGCCTAGCAAAAGACTTTGAGAATATGGAAAATATAAGCAAAATAGAAATGATAGCAATTTTCGACTGTGTGGCTGAAAGCAACTGAATGCCTGAAGGCCCCTTTGTTTAGATAGTGTTAGATGCTGTGAATACCAAATAGCAAGCAGACATCCTCCCTAGGCATGGCCGGAAGGGTCCCAGATAAAATTTAGACATAAGAAAAGCAGTAAAACATGGTAATATAGTGATTCCTATAGGTTGCATGCAAATGTTAGAGAATTTGTATCTTGTATTAGATTGGTTAGTGGAAATTAGAATATTCAACATAGAAGAAGATTTAACGTATTGTAAACGGGAAAAACTCTCTCTTATGCTCTTACTCTTACCATCTTACTCTCTTGCTCTCTTACTCTCTTATGCTCTCTCCTCTTACTCTTGCTCTATCCCTCTCTCTCTGTCCTGCTCTGAGCTGCGGCTACAGTTCCTAGCAGGGCCTCATATATACCCACACCCTACGAAATAAACTGCAAACTTCAAGACCAGAATACAGAGAGCGCCTGAGTTTCTCCCTACCGTCCACACGCAGTATTTCCTACAATCTTGTACTTCTGTTATGTATGCACTTATTTTCACTCTGGTTTTTTTGTCTACCTTTTGAGCTGGTGGAGCTTTTCACCCCTATATATCCCATTCCTCATACCTCAAGAGAGAATGATGATCCTTCCTTGCCACAGAGGTGGTGTTGGAAGAAGAACTAGACTAAAGTATAATTATTATTATCTTGCTGGTTGTATTTTAATCTCTCCTTAGTAAACATGTCTTTTGGGGAGTTGGTACATAACCACAATGACCAATGCCCTGCTTGGGTTGCAGCCCAAGCACAAGGCTGCTGCCTCTCCTTGGGTCTGCCAGCAGCTTGGGCTGGAACACAGGGAAGTGCAGGGCAAAGGCATGATGACCATGGACAAACATTCCAGCATCTGGAGTACCAGCACTGCAGTCCTAGTTGGTGTCAGGCTGTAACAGTCAATAACAATTAATTGTCTGGTTTTTTCGGGGAAAAAAACTACCTTTGTCTGTACTTTGCCTTGCCTTTTCTTCTCTCTCTTTAAAGTGTGAAAATGTTCAAAGTGCCATTGTGCCTTCACTCTCACAGTCTGTCATTAAGACAAATAGTTACAGCTAGTAAGGGCTAGTGAGTTGTAGGACTAAACATATCCGCACGGTTTTTCCTGCTCTGTTTACTGGACCAGCAGATTCCCCCTACAAGACGTACATGGACTTACACCGTGATCCAAATTCTGCCACCAGGCAGTGTAAACACACAATAGATCTCCTGAAGGCAGTGGTATAGTACAGGTTTTAAACAAACATAAATAAGAGCAGCATGTGGTGCTCTGGCAGTCTAAACTGAATTTGGATTTCTAAAATAGTTACAAGGAATGAAGTGTCTGACAGTACTCACTGTTGAAAGCATCATTTATTTTCCATACAAGTTACATCACCAGACTACCCTCATAATTATGGCCATGAAAAAACAGAAGCAGGCAGTAAGCTTTTCCTCTTGAATTCTAAAATAACAAATGCCTAAAAAGTCCAGAATTTCCAAAGACCTGAGCTCATTGAAAGCCTCTCTCACTGAAAGATTAGTAGCATAGTTAAGCCAGACTTACTATGGAAAAATTCACTTTATGGATTGTTTTAATCTAAAGCAGCCTATTTGTAACAAAGGATAAATAGAAAAGCACACTCATTCCTTTTAGGCAGTAGTCAGGGAGCACCTAGGAATAGATGTCATGGGAGCCTGGATCAGATGATTTCCCTGGGAAGCATAGCCCTGACTTATGCAGAACCTAAGCCCTGCTGTTCAGTAGCTCTCCAGGACTGATTACATGTCTGTCGTGAAAAGCTTTCAACAAAGGAAGCTACACTGATGTTGAAGTGTAAGGTCAAGCTCTCCTCTTGTGTACCATGTTGTAAATCAGAAGCTATTCCACTGCCTGCCGCAGGGTAACTCCTGATTTACACCTCTGGGAGCAGAGCAAGCATCTGGCAAAAAGCTGGCACTTGTCTCATGGTCCTGCCTGGATGACCCTCATAGTGGCAGAGGCGCCACAGATGTTGCAGGGTGGCCCCAAGGGAGGAATTGCTCCCTGCTGGCACTGCAGGGCAGCAAGGACATAGGGAGGCATAAGGCAAGCAGACGCTGTACCAGCTCTGCCTCTCTTCTGCTGCTGTGTGGCACATGGTCCTGGGGGGACACTTGGCCCTGGCACATCTGCCCAGACAGTTATTCAGGCTGAGCTCAGGTATTGGTGCTAAACTCCAAATTAATGCCTGTTTCCTTCTATTCCCCAATAGATAGAGATTATAGAGATAGAGATATATAGATACAGGTAAAGATAGATAGATAGATAGATAGATAGATAGATAGATAGATAGATAGATAGATAGATAGATAATAGCAAAAATTTTTTTAAAAAAGGTCTAGAAAAAGTGAGATGTTTTAAATATCATAAGGGTCTCTCCTGGGGAAGCTAAAACAGACGTACTGGCTGGCAGAAGCAGGAGTTCCTGAAAACTTAACACTCTGGCTGGGCAAGAGGCCTCCTGTGTGCAATCCTGCATGAAAACAGGAAGAGGCACCTTACTAAAGCACTTGGGCTGAAACCACTGGAGCTGTAGTTAATCACAGCCATGGCTGCTCCCTCCCCACTCATTCAATAGGTTTGTAGCACTGCACAGAACAAATACACAGTTTTATGCACGTCTTGATCCCTTTCCCATTACA